GCAGATGCTGCAAGTCAGACCACTGGCAAGAAATTCTCTCTCACACAGACACTTTACATTGCAAGAAAGAAATAAAATACTTTAGAGAAATAGTGTATGGAAGACAACAATAGCTCTAAACAATGGATGGGATTATTACAAAACACAAGCATCTGTTCCTATGGATCCCTGACAGCGTTGCTACATCTGTTAAGACAGGATTTTTTTTTTTGTTGCTAGCCACACTCCCCAGAGGTGCTGAAGTACTAAAACCAGCTTAAGATCTGTCTCCCTGTCATCAAGTGCCTCGTTCTTCTCTCATGGCTGCAAGCCTACTGGATCCGATCTGCAGCATCATTACAGCTGCAAACAGAAACAAGCCCAGCCAGATCTAGCTGTCTGATATCGTGAACAGGGATGGTATATCACCTATTTGACCTCTCCATCAAGGCTCACAGCTAGGAGCTCCCCAAAGGACAGGTGCTAACACAGCGGGAAGAGGTGGATTTAGATGACTAGAAGCACAGGGCCCGAAATCCACTTGTCATCAAACTATATAGGGCAGTTGTGCTCAACCTTTTCCATGTTGGGACCTCTTTTCCATCTTGCCAAGGTCTAGCTGAGAACCTCTCTCCGATTTAGCAGTATAGTCATGGAAAGGTTGTCAAAGCCTTCTGATGATTGTTTTTTCATAGATTCATAGATTCCAAGACTCGAAGGGACCACTGTGATCATCTAGTCTGACCTCCTGTATAACACAGGCCAGAGAACTACCCCAAAATAATTCCTAGAGCAGAACTTTTAGAAAAACTTCCCATCTTGATTCAAAAGCTGGCAGTGATGGAGAATCCACCATGATCTTCGGTAAATTGTTCCATTGATTAGTTTAAAAATGTACCTCTTATTTCCAGTTTGAATTTGTCTAGCTTCAACTTCCAGCCATGTTTTACCTTGCTCTGCTAGACTGAAGAGCCCATTATTAAATATTTGTGCCCCATGTAGACACTGATGGCCTGTAATAAAGCAACCCCTTACCGTTTCTTTCTTAAGGTAAATAGATTGAGAATCTTGACTCTATCACTATACAGCATAAAAGAAAAGGAGTACTTGTGGCACCTTAGAGACTAACAAATTTATTTGAGCATAAGCTTTCGTGAGCTACAGCTCACTTCATCGGATGCATTCAGTGGAAAATACAGTGGGGAGACTTATATACACAGAGAACATGAAACAATGGGTGTTACCATACACACTGTAAGGAGAGTGATCAGGTAAGGTGAGCTATTACCAGCAGGAGAGCGGTGAGGAAAAAACCTTTTGTAGTGATAATCAAGGTGGGCCATTTCCAGCAGTTGACAAGAACATCTGAGGAACAGTGGCGGGGCGGGGGTGTGTGTGTGTTAAACATGGGGAAATAGTTTTACTTTGTGTAATGACCCATCCACTCCCAGTCTTTATTCAAGCCTAAGTTAATTGTATCCAGTTTGCAAATTAATTCCAATTCAGCAGTCTCTCGTTGGAGTCTGTTTTTGAAGTTTTTTTGTTGAAGAATTGCCACTTTTAGGTCTGTAATCGAGTGACCAAAGAGATTGAAGTGTTCTCCAACTGGTTTTTGAATGTTATAATTCTTGACATCTGATTTGTGTCCATTTATTCTTTTACGTAGAGACTGTCCAGTTTGACCAATGTACATGGCAGAGGGGCATTGCTGGCACATTATGGAATATATCACATTGGTAGATGTGCAGGTGAATGAGCAAGAATTCAAAAGTGGCAATTCTTCAACAAAAAAAACTTCAAAAACAGACTCCAACGAGAGACTGCTGAATTGGAATTAATTTGCAAACTGGATACAATTAACTTAGGCTTGAATAAAGACTGGGAGAGGATGGGTTGTTACACAAAGTAAAACTATTTCCCCATGTTTATTCCCCCTCACACACACACACACTGTTCCTCACACGTTCTTGTTAACTGCTGGAAATGGCCCACCTTGATTATCATTACAAAAGGTTCTCTCCCTCCAACGCTCCCCTCCCCCACCCCGCTCTCCTGCTGGTAACAGCTCACTTTACCTGATCACTCTCCTTACAGTGTGTATGGTAACACCCATTGTTTCGTGTTCTCTGTGTATATAAATCTCCCCACTGTATTTTCCACTGAATGCATCCGATGAAGTGAGCTGTAGCTCATGAAAGCTTATGCTCAAATACATTTATTAGTCTCTAATGTTGCCACAAGTATTCCTTTTCTTTTTGCTGATACAGACTAACACGGCTGCTACTCTGAAAACTATACAGCATGTTTTCTAATCCTTCATTCATTCTTGTGGCTCTTCTTGGGAACACTCTCCAATTTATTAACATCCTTTTTGAATTGTGAGCACAGAACTGGACCCAGTGTTCCTGCAGTGACTGCACCAGTGCCAAACACAGAGGTAAAATAACCTCTCTGCTCCTACTCAAGATTCCCATTTATGCATCCCAGGATCGCATAAGCTGTTTTGGCCACGGCATTGCACTGGGAGCTCAGGGTCAGCTGAATATCCATCATGACCCCTTAATCTTTTTCAGAGTCGCTGCTTCCCAGGATAGAGTCCCCCACCCTGTAAGTATGGCCTAGATTCTTTGTTCCTAGATAGACAGATTTACATTTAGCTGTATTATTGTTTGCTTGCACCCAGTTTCCCAAGTGATCCAGATCACTCTGAATCAGTGACCTGTCCTCTTCAATTTTACCACTATCACAATGTTTGTGTCACTGGCAAACTTTATCAGTCATGATTTAATGTCTTTTTCCAGATCATTATTCAAAATGTTAAATAGTGCTGGGCCAAGAACTGATCCCTGTGGATTTATAGTTTATAAATTTACAGTTTATATTTAGATTTACAGTTATATTTTGAGACCTATCAGTTAGCCAGTTTTTAATCCATTTAATGTGTGCCATGTTAATTTTTTATTGTTCTAGATTTTTAAATCAAAATGTTGTGCAGTATCAAGTCAATTACACCAACACTATTACCACTTTTATCAACCAAACTTGTAATCTCATAAAAAAAATACCGATTTAGTTTGACAGGATCCATTTTCCATAAACACACATTGATTTGCATTAATTATATTACCCTCCTTTAATTCTTTATTAATCAAGTCCTGTATCAGCTGCTCTATTATCTTGCCTGGGATGGCTGACAGGCGTATAACTACCCAGGTCATCCCATTTACACTTTTAAAAAATTGGCACAATATTAGCTTTCTTTCAGTCTTCTGAAACTTTCACATTTCTCCAAGACTTCTTGAAAATCAACATTAACAATCCAGCAAGCTTCTGAGCTAGCTCTTTTAAAACTCTTGAATAGAAGTTAACTGGACCTGATGATTTGCAAATGTCTCATTTTAGTAGCTGCTAGTAACATTCTCCAGAGACACTGATGGAATGGAAAGTGTGTGATCATCACCATATGATGAAACTATATCATCTGTTTTGCCTCAAATACAGAACAGAAATAGTTTTGAATGATTCTGCCTTTTCTGCATTATTATTGATCATTCTATCATTTCCATCTATTAGTGGACCAATACCATTGTCAGGATTCTTTTTGTTCCTAATATATTTTAAAATATCTCCTTATTGTCCTTAACTCTGCTGGCCACATATTCATCCTTGTATCCCTTGGCTTCCCTGCTTCTGATTTATATTCATTATTGTCAACTTTCCCTTTCTTCAATTTGTTCTATATTATTCTTTTATTTCTTTTACAGATGTCTTCCATTCCCCTCTAAATCAGTTTGGTCTTTTAACCAGTAAAACCTCCTTCCTTGATTGTGGCTTTTGGGGCCTCTAGTAAGGTGTTCTTAAATGATTCCCAATTATCATTCAAATTTTTCTGATAAATTCTTCATCCCAGCTGATTTGGCTCATAATTGTTTTCAGCTTTGTGAACCTGGCCTCCTTAAAGCACTCTCTACATATTACTGATCTGCACTTTATGTGGCTTGCACATTACAAATGTTATCAAATCATGATCCCGGGTAGCTAAGCTGTTTGCAACCCCCCTGCCCCTTCGAGAACACCTGAGCTAATATTTCAGGCATGCTGCAAATTCGGGCAGGTATTACTGCATCCATTCACATTTTCAAGGTGATGTCTGTGAACGTAAGAGCTAGAAACATAGTTGGATGTTTTAAAGAAAAAAGAAAGAATGAGAGGGAATGGGAGATTACTGGCAGTGCCCCAGTAACATGTTCATAATCACCAGGTTGAGACTCTTTGGTTTAGTGTATTTAGCAGCACTGTATCTATCACCATGGAGGAGATGGAGTACTATAGACCAATAATGGCAGCCTTGTCAGTGTTGGAGCACTTTGAGACATTGAAACGCTCCCATACTTGCACAGGATACAGATGAAAATAACTAGGGGAAACCATTCAGAGCATTTAGAGTGAACCCAGTATTAGTCAGACACTACTTGAGAGCATGGGTGGTGCATGGAACCCCCCTACCTCCATTCAGGGAAGCTAGCCCCCAGCCCCACCCCTTCCGTTAGAGGCCCCACCTCTACCTTGCCCCTTCTGCCCTCCTCCCCCACCAGAGCCCAGAGCCCCTCACTACAGCTGGGAGAACCCCGCCCCAACTCTGGAGTGCCGGCCCGCCCCAGCCCCAGGTGGCCCCAGCCCCGGAGCACCAGCCGGCCCCAGCCCAGCCAGCCGGTCCGAGCACCCGCCCTAGGTGCCCCGAGTCCTAGGCCACCAGCCAGCTCTCCCTAGCCCCAGCCCTCTTCGGGGGGAGAGGCTAAGCAAGGGCAGGAAGAGGAGCAGCCTGGTCTGGGACCATGAGGGAAGACTGGGATGTAGAAGGGGGCCTCGGGATGGAGCGTGGGTGGGGCCATGCCTGGCTGTTTCGGGATGCTTAGCCTCCCCTGGCCTATGATACCCACCAGCCATGCTTGAAAGGAAGAGCCAGCCCCATCTCTTGGAAGGATGAAGATCCCCACGTCCCTGCAACAACAGAGACTCACCAAAGTTCTCCCCACCCCAGATGTCCATGGCAGTGTCATACTTCCCCAGGTGGTTGAACCAGGTTTTGTCGATCACAAAGAGCCCCCCTGCAATGATTGGAGTCCTGCAGAGATACAAAGGGAAGAGGGGACAAGCCCTTACTCAAACACTGGAGTAGAACCTGAGATGCACAGTAAGCCACCTCCTTTCGCTTCCTATTCTACTTTCAGAGCGATATATCTGTGAATCTTCCTATCATCCCAAAACAAGGACACATGTCTCAACATGGCAGAGCCATTTAACTGGCTGGCTTGGTATTTTTCTGTCGATCATAAACTGCCCGGCACTTAAAAACAGGTTAATGCACACATTAACACAACTCCTATGAGCCCAGAGTTCACAGCCCTTATTGTACGCTTCATAACCAAAAATGCACTTAGCACTTGGGGGTTATTTACATGGCATGACCTAAATGGCCTTTGTGCCAGGAGAGATCTTATTAGGAACACCACTGTAACAGGGAGAGGAAGCCTGTGCCTATTCAACAGGGGATTTTTAAAAGCCATCACTGTGAGTTTGATCTAGAATTTCTCAAACTAGGGGTCCCGACCCAAAAGGAGGTCACAAGACTATTGCAGGGGGGTCACGAGAGCGGTGGCTGCTGGCTGGATGCCCAACTCTGAAGGCACCACCACAGTCACCAGAAGCAGCGCAGAAGTAAGGGTGGCATGGTGGGGGGCAGTTTGCCCCTTTTTAGGGGGGGGTCATCACAGCCTGAAATATTTTCAAAGGGGTTCTCAGCAAAAAAAGTTTGAGAACCCCTGGTTTGATCTTTATTTCCAAACAGGGCTACTTTTTGCCTTCTGGATGAGCTGAGGTTATCAAAGAGAAGTCATGTGGAGGGGTTGGAGAGAGAGAGAGGAGGATCATTTTAGGAGTATCACCCATTCGATGGGGCAGGCCCCATGCCTACGAGCCTGTGCCACATCCTGCAAACATGTACAATTAAGATGCATTGGATTTGTCTCGGGTCTCATGATCTCTCTGCACCGCGAGGGGGCTCCAATTGTTTTTGCAGGCAGGACAATCATGAAAATGAGATGGGGCACCGGGAGATGAACATGAGCTCGTTACAAGAACCAGGACAAGAAGCAGCAAGATTTGGTTCCCCATGATGTGTGTCCTCTGCATCATTTCTGGAGCTCTGAGCTTTCACCACCACATTCCCTGTTCCATGCTTCATGTCACAACAACGACATTTCTGTTCAAGGACCGGACAAAATACCAGCCAACATCATACCTTAGCCAGCAACAAGGGGTGAATAAGGTGAGGCACTCCCTCCAACCCAAGGGATGAGGTCAGATTTTTTTCTCTTCCTGATTTGATTAACTCTCCTGAGATTCATCACTCACTTCCTATTACCTTCAGACTTGCTGTCCGCCCCTTAGGCAGCTTAGAAGGGCAAGGCTGGTTGGGAATGCATGATCTGGATCACTTGCTTTCATCAAGGGTTTCACCCTTTTTCAGGGATTCCTCTTGTTCTTGGGTAAAATATGAGTTGTGAGAAGTAAAGTAAGAGTCTTTGTTGGGGGAAGAAGGGTCTCGTTCACAGGCTGGAAGAACTAGGAGCCTTCACCTATTTTTACTTAGCCTTTTGGGGTGGGGGAATCATTTGGAGCCCTTAGGCACTGCCTTATTACAATAATAATAATAATTGTGACCCTGAGTTGTAAAACCCAAAGTAAACTGGAACTCAGGATAGACCCATGAGACTCAGGACTGTTATGGGACGGGTGGGAGTACCTATCCGTCTCCTCCATGGTGCCATATGTGTTAAACCAGGTCCCTAATTAGGTACTTAGATTTCCTTCTGGACCAGCTAAATAGAACCATGTGCTGTATCTACAGAATTGGGCAATATCTCCAGTCAGGGTCAGATCCATAGCCGGTGAAGTCAACGGAAAGACTCCCGTAGACTTCAGTGGGCTTTGAGTCTAGTCCTTAGTGTGCAAATTTCCCTGCAAGTGAAAAGGGGAAAATCAGACAAGGCCCTGGACACAGTCTGGCTGGCACCAACTTCCACAGAAGAAAGCCCTCCATACACCCCAGTTTTCCCCCCTCTGCTGCCTTGCTACTTACTTAATGGGTTCTGTAGGGTCAATTCGTTTGGCTTTCTGCTCTGGGGAAAGCTGCTCCCATTTGAAATGTAGACTCCAGTCAAACCCTAAAAACAAAGTATAGAAGGACCATGGCGAAATTGGAGATGGACATAAACCAGGAGGTCACCAAACCCATCCCCTAGCCAGCACAAAATTGTTTCTGATTCTTCCATTTTAAATGACCCAGATAATGGGTCTGCAGCCAGTACTCTGAAGAGACGATTCCAGTGTCTAACACATTTAAATATTACAAACAAAAAACTACATGAAAGGAGAGCTACAGTTGCAATGTCCAGCACTCAAAAAAGTCAGAAAGTGCCAGAACAAAGGTGGCCTGTAAAGCCTTAATTCAGCACCCTTGCGCGTATGCATTAGGATACGGTCTTTAACTTATGTGAGCACACACTATCGTTTTCACAGGAGCCCTGCCTCATTCAGTGAACAGAACGGACAGGGCTCAGTTGATGATCAGCAATATAATATTTAATTTTACCACCATCGTTCAACATATGGGCCCATGGCCTTATTTATTTATTTATTTATTTATTTCCTCATGGGCTTTTCTGTTGTGCTCATCACTGTAATACCTGAGGGTTCACAAGCATTGGCGAATTTACCTTCACAACCCCCCTACAGGATGATGGGGTGACACTATCCTCATTTTACGGATGGGAAACTGAGGCATGGAGGCATTAAGGTCCAAAGTGTACATTAACTCTGGGTGCCCTGTTTGAGAGACGTAGGGCCTGATTTTTCAGAGTACTCAGCATTACACAGTGTTTTGAATGTTCAAAGCACAACTCCTGTCGACTTCAGTTGCATTTGTGAGTGCTCAACACACCTGCAGATGAAAACAGGCGCCAAAAATTGAGGAACACACAAGTAGTGACCATCTCTGAAAAGTCTACTTTAAGTGCCTGTTGCAGCATCACACAGGAACTCTGTGGCAGGCATAGAACCCAATTCTCCTAGAGGCATTCAACTGCCTAAACCCCAAGACTCTCCCCTCCCTTTCTGCAGTCCCCTGCCTCATTCACTACCCACCTTTCAACTCTGCAACAAGTGAAACAGGGGCCCTCAAACAAAAGCCTCTTTTGCTGCACAGCCTGGTTCATTCTCTAAGCATGTAGGAAATGTCGCATGTTCTGGGGCTTCTAGACAGAGAGGTGCAGAGCACAAAGGGGCACAGAGACAGGAATCTCAGAGAACCAGCAAGTTTGCACTGAGGTCGAAACTAGAGACTGCCTCATCTGCTGGGCCCCCATCTTGAGAAGGAGGATCAAAGATTGTAGCAAAGAGGCAATGAGCCAAGCCTGTCTGAACTTGAAGAATGGCTTTGGTTCTGTTTATAGAACTGTATAAATTGCCATACCAGAACACATTCATGGTTCATCTAGCCCAGTTACCCTTTCTGCAGAGGCTATAGAGACTGGACTTCAGTATGGGCCATGTCTCCTCTGGCACAAACCTGTTAATCTGTCGTTAGTCTCATAATAGATTCCATTTGCCTCTGTGTTAAAACCACCAGACAACCAAGCTTGGCTGATAGTCTCTGCACAGAGCATTATCTGGCACTTTCTAGAGAAATCCAAGGACATGAGTAAAAAACTCCAGGGGTGTGTGCTACACAAGAAACAAGGAGAGGAGCCACTCTCTCTCTCAGAGTAATCAGAGAACAGCATTCTCCAGGGAGGGAAGAGTCATCTTGCCATTTAGCAGAGGGAAGTCATATTTCAGGGCCTGATTCTTCACTGTGTCACTTTGGTTTTACACTGGCATATCTCTGGAGTGACACAATGGGGAAATCAGGCGACCAGAAATGTGCAAAGCTCAGAAGGGGACTTCAGCTAACAACCCACTTATAGCTGTGGAGATATGTATGGCAATACTATCCCTCTATATCCCTCCCCTTCCATGACACCTGGTTTTCTCTGCTGCTAGGGGTTAGCTTAGATGGGATACTTCACCCGCATGGCCACTGCACCCTAGTAAGGAATTCCATTCCCTCAAGTCAGTGGTATGAAAGGCCAGTCTAGCCTTGCAAACTGATAGAGGGGGAAACAGGGTATTTTTAGTGTGCTTGCAGAAAACAGCTGTGTATACAGAGCATTATAAATAATCCTTACAGTATTATAAATAATCCTTACAGTAGGGAGCTCCGACTCAGTGCCTCCTTCACACTGAGTCAGCCACTTCCCTCTGCCAGTGTCTGCTGAGCATAGTACCTCACAGATCAGCATCACCCAACAGGGAGTGAGCACAATACACACTCACCTCCTCTCAGGTCCGAGGAAGCGGCCACATAGGCAAAAGTGTCCAAGTTGATGATGTCGATAACTGGACTGACCACGCGGGTTGGATCCTGAGAACAAGGAACAAAACAACTCATGACTTTTGACCTGGTGTAGCTTCTCCTCAGAAGCCAGCTCAGTAGCAGGGTGGTGGGAAAACCTGTCTTATGGGCAAAGATGTGAGGAAGCTGGTTTGCCACTGGGGTCTGGAGTCCTCTACTGATCCACAGGACGGACAAGTCAAGGGGATGGCCAAATTCTTAGCTGTGTTCACTGGCTGGAACTCCTGGTGTCAATCCAGTTTCTTGTGGACCGGTGTCCATATCACAAAAGCAACCCTCTAGATAACTTGTTGGCTGTCTTATCAGAAAGGCTAAGGATTGAATGGAAGCATCCGCTCAGACACTCTCATCCCTGGAGGACAAAGTTGAGGATACACTACCAGGGTGGTGTGTGGGGAAGCTTATACTTCCCCTATTATGAACAGAGGACTTAGTCTCCAAGGCTGTCAAGCCAGCATCTTTCACTAGCTCTAAATTCTCTCACAAAGAAACCCGGACTACATAGGGTGTGGGTGGGTTTTACACCAAACTTGGCTCAAGAATCTCTAGCTGAGTACAAAACTCCATCTTTCTTTTACAAATTCATCAATTTATTCCCCCACCGCCTCCTTTCAATTCTTTTTATTGAATTTTAGAAGTTAAGCCACAAGCAAGAAATTTAAAGAATAGACAAAACAAAGCCAGCCAGCCAGTTAAAACATATAGAAAAACACTACATATAAATCCGCAAAATTACCATACAGCACTGCTTTTGTCAAAGGAGGGGAAGGGGTTAAAGAATGAAATGATGTTAAATATTTGGTACTAGTGATTTAATTATCTTCTTGTTATAGGAAAAGAGATTATACAAACAGTTAGGGACAAAAATATCTATAGGAGGATGAGATTCTGACAGCTTTGACTGGTCTCTTATCTTCCCTTTTCTTTTCAAAAATCCCGAACTCCAATTATAGCTCAAACTTCAAGCTTTTCCCCTCACCAGATCAAATCGCTTTTCACAGACATGCAGACGAATGCATCTTAGCACATGCAGGCTTGCTCTCTCACTCTGGGAGAAGATTTTGTTTTAGAAATCAGTCCTAAAAAATAGGAGCTATGTTCTGGTGCAGTCACAGAACAAAGGAGCTGAGCACTGAAAGTCGTGCTGCTCAGCCATATTGGGGACTCAGGTTTTATAAATCGGAATGACAATTCTTGGCATTTCTATGACATTGTCTATCTGAGAATCTCAAAGCACTTGTATGGACATTGATGAACTAAGCATCATAACACCCTTGTCAGGTCAGTAAATATTGTTTTTCCCATATGGTAGATGGAGAAACGGAGGCACAAGATATTAAAGACTGTGACACTCTGTACCTCAAAGGAGCACCTTGGAACCCCCATATTCACCACTGCCATATAATTATGATATATTTTGTACAAAGTATACCTTGTGAGGATCATTTTGAAAGTCTTGATTTGTTGAACATAATATCCTGTTGGATTGTACGTACTATCATTGTATGTGAAGTTATGAAGTATTGCTAAATATGCTACTGAAATATGCTGTGAGATTGGGAGATTCCCACAGCCAGCCTTTAAGTTGCAACAAAGGAGGGCACAGACAGCATTAATGGCCCATCAAGAAGAATCAACTATCCCAGAGACTTCTCAGAGAAGGCACATACACAATGGAGCTGCCTGACCCCACCTCACAGCTAGGATCTTTCTAGCAGCTGGAAGAAGGTATAAAAAGAGAGGCAGTGAGATCACTTGGCTTCTTCACCTCCCCATCTCAACACCTGGAAAATCATCTGGAAAGAAAAGACTTGGAACTAGGGAGATTGGTCCCAGGCTGTAAGGGGGTCCAGTCTGTGTACTGAGGAACTGTAAGCTGACTGTGCCATCTGTTAAAGTGGGACTGTTTGATTCAAATCTTCCGTAGTCTAAGTTAGAAGTAGACTGAGAATTTATTTTTGTTTCTTAGATAACCAGTTTTGATCTCTATGCCTGCTACTTATAATAACTTAAAATCTGTCTTTCTGTAGTTAAGAAATCTGTTTTATATTTTACCTGAAACAGTGTGTTTTGGTTGAAGTGCTTAGGAAATCTCAGCTCATGTTAACAGGGGCTGTTGCACATGCACTACCCTTTTGTCGGTGCGGCAAACAAGTTCATGCATTTACACTGGCCAGGCTTCTGATCAGGGCAAGACGGTACAATTCTGGGGCATAAGGCTGGAGCTGAAGGGAATTGGCTGGAGCTTCTCCATTGATAGTTCATGAGATGCTGGGAGATCATTCATGTAACTCAGTTGGGCATGTCCCTGCCTGTGGATGGCTGTGTAAGTGCAGTGCCTATCAGAGGCTTGTACCTTGGCATCAGCATCACAGTGAGAGAGGCAGCCCAGGTTGGTGGGACATAGGGCTTTGCGGACCCACGGTCCAGGTTGCACCTTGGGGACCCTGTCACAAAGTCCTGCTCCTGATTAAGTCAATGGCAAAACTCTCAATCATTACAATGGGAGCAAGACTGATCCCTAAGTGGCTTGACCAAAGTCAGTGCACAGAACGCAGACACCCAGACTTGTGTCTGAACCCCAAGATCACCCTTCCCCTCAAACAGCATACCTTTTTGCTGGAAGCTTTTCTACCTCCTCAGCATGATGAGCTTTTGAAATTGATTGAAAAATCCTTAATGTAAGAATCCAACTAATACAGAACAGAAAGCCAAATAAGTGACCCCAGAGGTTAGCGCTTTGCTCTAGGGATGGTCGGGAATTTTTTTTTCCCATCCCATGAATATTTTTTTGATGCATTCAACATTTTTCCTATAACAAATGAAGACGAAAAGTCAAAATCTAACAAATACAACCCCCAAAATTGTTTTTTTCATTTGGGGTCAATAGAAACATTTTGTCATATTTAATTTTGATTTCACCTTTTTCTCTTTGTTTAACCTTTTTTTTTTTCAGTCTCTGTAGCTTAAATTTCTAAATGAAAAGTTGTTTCGAACCAGAAAACTGGATGTTTTAATTTTTAAAACGTCAAAATGAAACATTTCGATGATTTTGAAACCTTTGGTCTGAACATTTTTCAAGTCAGGAGAGTCGCTGAACCTGCCCCTGTTTCACGAAACATTTTGGGTTTGATGAATTGGAGTTTTCAACCAAAAAAAAAAAAAAAAAGCTAATGGAAAATGTCCCCACCAGCTCTACTCTGCACTATGAAATGAGAGATCTCTGCCAATTTCTCAGTTCTGATTTCTGGACGGCTGAACCAGCAAGAGGCTGAGGAGAGGGTGTGTCAAGGTTGCTTTCTAGTGACCCTTCTGGTTGACCCAAAGAATGGCACTGATGAGCTCAAACTACAGTCACACTCACTGGCTGAAGGAAGGTCTCCATGAGATGGGGCAAAAGGATTTAAACCCAGGATGGAGAGGAAATCAGAGGATACTGTATATGAAACTTATGTTGAGGGGGAATGACTATGTATGTTAACATTTTACCATGAGCAACTTGCTCATGAATGCATTTAGAGAGCCATAATTCATGCCCACATTGGATTCTACTCATCCTCATTACAAAGCAAAGATTCTTACAAGAAAATCCCCACGAACATTCTCTGCGTTTCTCAGCGGAGAAAAATACAGCAGGGATTTTAGCTTTCAGTGACATACTTAGAATCTCTGTGCCTCAGTGGCCACATCTATACAGCAGGGAAAATGATCTTACACAGCGTGCACAAAGGGCTTTGAGATCCTGAAAAGAAAGGCACTTCTTATAAGTATAGTTACTATTTGATTTATATCCAACTTTTACTTTAGTCAGTTTCACCTTCTGGCTCTCACATGGCTAGCACAATGCTGCACTGTTGGGGCTCCAAAAATGTCAAGAGCATGTTTACCTCTAGCCCCCCCCCCATATTCTCAAATTCTTAATTAGAATTTTCAAAAATTCATGAACGGATTTCTACTGATCTTGTTGTCACACAGACTAAATTACATCTGCAAGTCAACCATGCCTTGTCCCTTTAGAATGTTCTTAAAAATCAAATCAAATATTTCAATGGAAAAGGAAACGTATTCCAGCTATTCGGGGCTACAACCACCAATGTTGACCTCCCATTCGTTCGAATGGTTAGCAGGAAGGCAGAAAGAAAAGGAGGACTTGTGGCACCTTAGAGCTGTAGCTCACAAAAGCTTATGCTCAAATAAATTGGTTAGTCTCTAAGGTGCCACAAGTACTCCTTTTCTTTTTGCGAATACAGACTAACACAGCTGTTACTCTGAAACCAGGAAGGCAGTGGGCATCCTCCCTTTGAGAGAGACTCCCATGCAAAGTTATAGCTTAACATCCCACCTTAGAGCTCTCTCCACAGACTGGGAGAACATGCAAAACTGTCAGGGGCTTCAGCTGGAAGCGGAACACCATTCGCTGGCTCATTCTAGTGGTATTAGCAAAAGCCAATTTTCAGGTGAGCTGATTAAGATTGATTCTTACTGTAAAAATGCCTTAGGCTTGATAATTACATTTTAAGAAAAGTTATTCAGTTGAAATAAATGGGTAATGGTTTTAGATATACCTCTACAAGTAAAAACGAGAGACCATGTGCTTACACGTTTGCAGTCGTAAACAGTCTTGGAACATGTGCACGCTCTCTCTCTCTCTCTGATACACACACACACACACACACACACCCCTCCTTTTATTTTGACATTTGCCGAACACCCAGAAACCTGCCTGAACCGCTGCTTTGCCCAATGAAAAATGGGAAGCGACATGCAGAGTGGAATGGTACTGGGAGCGAAGTCAGATTCATTTTGGGCCAGTCATTCTTCATTTGCTCGAGACTTCCATTTTATTACCACAAATACCATTCCTGCCAGTAACAGAGCAAGAAGAGACTTTTTATATAACATGAATTCCCACTGTAAAAGAACATGGCAGGGAATTGGCCGGTTGTCTTTCCAGCACCTGCCCAAAGGTGGCAGCAGTAACATTTCATACAGTTCAGTGATCAGTATCTTAACCCCGGTGTAAAGGACGGAGGCAATGAGCCAGGTAACAAGGACACTAATGGACGGGGATCAGGGACCCCTTGGACCTTTAAAAAATTTCTCTCAAGGGTCACATTTAAAAAAAAAAAAGATACATTTTCAAAAATACCCTCCAATCCTGGCCTGTAGTACTGCCTACCCCTCTACCCCCACTACCCTTTGATATTCCAGAACTAGGTCCCCACCCAGCTCTGAGGTGCACCTCAATCCTGACTGAAGCACCACCTACGGTTCTATTTCTGTGCACCCCAGACACCTTTCCTCTAATGCAGCTCCATCCTTACCCACAGCACTGCCTGCTGTTCCAGCCCTGGGCTCCCCACACACAGCCCGGTCTATGCCCTTCACTCCTGACCTGCCACAACCCCTGCTATTCCAATCTCAGAAACCATGGAGTGCATCGACCATGCCTAGATGGTGGCTTCGCAAGCTGGGGGAAACGTCCACTAGGCAGTAGGACGGACCCACTATGGTGGCTTTGTCCTAAAGTAGGATTTAAATCCAGGTCACCATAAGTGGGGAACCTGTCGGTGGATTAAGCTGCTGAGCCTTTTTCTAGCTCTTTAAAGTCCTACTTCACAGTGATCTCACTTGGCCCAAAATGTCAGCAACACTCTTCAACAATGTCCCTGTCAACTTCTAGGGAGTGACTGAACCCAGGTCCTCTGCAGCATGGCCAGCAGGGAGTGCGAACCACAGAGCCAGCTTCTACTTCAAACCATGCACATATTTAAAATACAATTACAAATCAGAAGTTAGCAGAGGTGAGGGTTGGCTTTAATGTTACATTCAAACCATGCTCCTGCCGCTCTGTTGTAATGAAACTCCTCCGGCTTTGCTGCATCTGCCATCCACATTCATTCATCACATCGACTCTGAGCATGAACTACGGGCCCCAGCGCTGCAAGGGAAATGCAGTCCTGATTGCCACCCTGCTCGCTTTCACTCTGCCAGAACACATCAGCGGAAATGATGCTGTTGCTCGAGTTGAAACGCAGGGCGGAGTTGGCTGGGGTAGGGAAACGTGGTGGTGGGAGGAGTGTTAAAAGGCCATTCCCAGAGTGAAAAACAATCAGTGAAATAAACGTTAGTGGAAGACCCGGTACTGGGGCAGGTGAGAGCGGAGTCTTCATAATAAGTAAGTGTCATTGTGATTACATCAGTATTTATTAGATGTATTTTAGTGCCACCTTCAGTCAGAGATTGGGGCCCCGTTGGGGTAGGAATTGCACAAACACAGTAAAGAGGCCTGACCCTGAGAGCTCACAGGTTAGGAAGTTAACTTGGACCCGTGCCCCCACCAAGTCACCGGGCTTTCAAGTGGAACAGCATAGGTTTGTGACAAGGGCAAGGCAGGTAAGAGACAAGGGGCAAGATTATGGCAAAACAAGCCCATTTTTACATAATATTATGACCTCAGACAAGGTATTTCACCCCTATATGTGCCAGTTCCCCAAAGATATGTTCATATATTTAATAATAAAATATACAAATAACTGTTTTAATCATGAATAACAGTATTTACTAGAAAAAAAAAAACTTGTGGGACCTTAGAGACTAACATTTATTTGGGCATAAGCTTTTGTGAGCTAAAACCCACTTCATCGGATGCATGCATTGGAAAATACAGTAGGAAGATATATATACACAGAGAACATTTACTAGGAGAGACACTTTCCTGATAATAGTAACAATAATGACCTTTCTATTGATCCTTAAACACTTATCTTCCAAGCACAGCTAAGCACGCAACTAGTTAAAATCTGCATGTGATACCCCTGAGAGGTGCATACGTATAATTATCCCCATTTTACAGAGGGGGAAATTCAGGCACAGCGAGGTCCAAGGTCACAGGAGTCAGTGGCAGAGCTAAGGAGTTCCTTGTTCCCAGACACTACACTGAACCCACAAGATCACGGCACCTTTTATTTGAATGACAAGGTGCTGTGGCGGGCAGGGCAAGAGGAGAGGTGTTTCTAGTGGAAGGAGAATATCATTGTCTGCTGCGAAATCAGCAGAATTTAAACCTATTAAATCCATTTATTAAAGCTTAATTAGCACGAAATTAAATTCAACCCTTATTCAAAGAGCCCTAAATCATCAGTACTGGGCATTTTTACATGAGCTTAATTGAAAAGTCCCTTTGGAGCAATGCCCACCTATTCCCCTGGCACCACTCAGCATTTGCCTCTCAGCAATTGCAACAGGGACCCAGGGGTCCAGCTAGCTTGATTTGCACACACACACTGGCCAGTTCCTTGCCTCCTGTCTCTGCAATATACCCATCAACTGCTGGGACTGACTCACTATTGCACACCCAGGGTAATCCTTTTGACTACAGCAGCGGTACCTCAGGGATGAACTGGGCCAATGGGGATCCCCAATGGAGCAGGAGAGAGAGAGAGAAAACTCCAGGTACAGGCTAAAGAAAGGCAAGAGAGAGAAAACCTTGGCAGGTATCCCACTGAGGGTCAGCCCTGCACTTTCCGACACATGTCCACCACTGGCCATAAGAGAAGCTATTGGTGGATTTTACCAAGACCTGTGCTAATTGAGTGGTGACCTGGTTTTCTGAGACACGTACCTCTTTGATCCTCTGCAGGAGAGGCAGCAGCCAGTCTTTATTCACCTCGCAGTGACTGTCTAGGAAGGTCAGAACTCCTGCCTGTGCCACGTCTGCCCCTCGGATTCGGGACCGGATCAAACCTGTTCAGATACACGCAAGCTCAGGTGCATCACAGATTGCATCCGTCTCTCTGTGCAGGGGATTAGTGGACTCCCCAGAAGCACATTCTACACACACAGAGAAGCCCCTTGAGCCCCAACCCATCCTCCATTCCACATGTGCATGCCTGGGTTTTGGTGTGAGCAAGCCACCTCCCTCATTTTCCAAGGTCATTAAAGTATTTAGGGTCATTTAGATTACTGATTTATGGAAATTACACCAATTCTTAATTAATGCAATTATTTCTGCTGCCACTTTCCTGGGGGAAAAGTGAGACTTAAAATGCTTCAGTAACCCCCACAGGTACAATAATCTAATATAGATTTAATTCAGCTTGGAATGTGCCTGTAACAGCAGTGACAAAGGAGAGGGGAATTTGAACAAATATTTTATCACACCACCAACAACAACCCCCATCCATCCTCCGCCACAAAGAGTGAGTGGATCTCCTTAGTAAGTCTGTGGTTTCAGTCTGTACGTTCACTGGATCCACCAGCGGCGTTCCCACTTATGTCCATGGAAGCCAGGCGTGGGGATGGAGGACTGTCCATAACTGAAGTGTCAATCCATGCATAGGCCCCTCTCTCTCTAATCCCTAAAACTCATCTTGACTTCCCACTGCTGGCTCCATCTACTGACCCACTGATGTCTTGCCCCCTGTGGCATCAAAAGTCATTAGCTCAGGATGCTCAGCAGAAACATCTTTTATCAAGGAGGGGGACATCTCAAGTGCTGGTCCCAAGGAGCGACAAGCCTGCTGTGTCTATTATAATGCACTTACCCCACCTTACTGTTAGGAGATGTAGGAGGTGGATATTTGTGTGTGTGAGAAAGAGACAGAGGTAAATGCAGTGGGTGTATCTAGCTGTGATGCTACAGTCCATGGGGAACTACTCAGACACACAGATTTAGGGCTGGATTGTTTGGTTAATTTTTGATCTCTAAAGATGAACACAAAGTCCTCCTTCCACCAGTTACATCTCTCCACTGTCTTTGTGATACGTGGTATGTGGTATGTGATATCTACCATCTGTACTCCAGTCAAATGGCTCCTCCCCACTCATTCCTCCAGTACACTGCCCATTCGCCAGTTAGCAGCAGCATTAATAAAACGGATGGACCCTCCACAAACGGAAGGACCTGCATCTTGACCAAGGATAACTGACAGCACAAAATGGGGACACAAGAATGGAGGCAGTGCTGGAAAAGCACCATCCGTGGTAGTGGTGATGGGGTGAAAGGAGACAACAAGGAACTAAGGGACTCTGGGAAATAGAAGATCACAAAGGCAAGAAGCAGCATTGCAGGGACAGGGAGAAGGAGCCCATTGATAATTATGTTACAAGAACCTGGAGGAAAGGGACTGAGACATACCCCAAGAGTCCGAGCAAGAGCGAGAGACAGATAGAAGGCCAAACCCTGGAACCTGGGGCAACATGAGTGACTATGGGGTTTCCTGGGGATATCCTTGTGGACTGGAGAATGGAGGCTCCTCTCAGACTGCACTCTATAACTTCTATGGCAGCTCCAGGCTCTGTCATCTAGCTAGGGGCCTACCACCTCCACCACACCCTTGCCCCAACTGCCTACAGGCAGCATGCAAAGAGCCTCGATGGAGTATAACTCTGTGGTGTACAAGTGGATGTGACCCTTCTGGGCTGGGTTTCCAGATCCTGACTCCCTGCACACCAGCATCTGCAGCAGAATCCGTTTCCACTGGGTCAGGGCCCTCTGATGCCATGGAGAAGCGTATGTGTATGTGAAGTACGTGTGGTGGGGTGTCACAGTTTGGCCGGGAGAAAGACAGACAGAAATTCAGAAACAGATATAGAGAGAGGGCAAGTTTGTGACTCACTTACACCAGTGTCAATGCAGAGAACATCTCTGACATCAAAGGAGCCACTCAAGATTCACCCGAGTCTAACAGAGCAAATCCAGCCAAGCAGGAGAATACTCAGATAAACCCCCTCTACTCACCATCCTCCCTATCTCCCCACTCCACAAAATCCCTATAGCTCATGCTTTTGGCTTGCCGCTAAAAACATTCTTTGATATTTGTGGGGTTTTTTTAATACTGTAAAGCGGCATTAGAAAATATCCATTTAGATTTTGGGGCTGGGTGGCAAAGTGTATCCAGAGGTCCGCAGCAATAGCCCCCTGGGGCATGCATTCATCCTCCTTACAGATCTTCTTAATCTTTAAAATATAATTAATTTATATTTTTTTTTAATTCCCATGGAGGCAGCAGGAGCTGATCTCGTCTGTTTCATTAGAACAAACAGCTTTCAAAAGAAGTCCCGGGGCTTTGTTTTGCCTTTTCTAATTTTCTGGCTAATAAGCTGCAGCTGAGCCTCATTGGATATCTTAACAGGTCCAATCTCTTTGAATGGGCGGGGGGGGAGATCCATTTTGATTCTCTGGCCCTTCTGAACATCTCTTTTTATTAGTGCTCTCACCCCTCGGATCCAAAAGTCACTGATATTTGCAGAAGGCCGGCAGATCTCCCTGTGATCACATCACCTCAACACAGTCACTCCTGCCAATTCAACTGGGCATCCATCTCTCTTCCCACCTCCAGGAATTTCCCTGTCTCTCACCACCCACCCACCTGTGTCCTGACAGGATCTTACCTTCTCGTTGCCTGTTGCGCAAGCATTTCACCTTGGGTAACTTGCCCAGTAAATGGCAGTCGTCAGCTTTGGAAACACAAACAGAGGCACAGAACACATCAGTGTTGAGGCTATCACTTTCACCAGACATGGGCCTCACAGGGTAATTAAGAGGGCAGGAAGGGTTCTTTTTTTATGGGTGGCACATCAGATAGAAACTGGGCTTGATTTTTATCACACACCTGTGTAAATCATGAGTGACTCTGCTGAAGTAAATGGACCAGTTACCTGGTTGATGTAAATCAGTCCATTTATTCCAATGGAGTTAGATGGATTTCCAAGGGCTGAGGATATGGCCCAATAGAATTACAATGTAAAATCAGTGGTCAAGGAGAATCAGGGCTTAGGTTGGATTCTGACCTTATTTACACTAGTGTAAATCTAGATAACCTGCCACATGAGTAAACCTGAAGAAGAGCTCTGTGTAGCTCAAAAGCTTGTCTCTTTCACCAACAGAAGTTGGTCTGATAAAAGATATTACCTCACCCTCATTGTGTCTCTGTTCCCTCATGAAGCAGAAAAACCCTTGGGTGGCCTAAAAGGCATGGCCGAGGTGAAAAGAAGGGATGAATGGAGCGCTACTGCACTCTGGCAATCTCAGCTGTAGAATGGCTCCTTGGGGGCTGTTGCAGCTGGGTGCAATGTAGAGCAGCCCTGAGGTTGCTCTAAGTTAGGCAGGCACCAAACTGACCTCTGATACGTAAAGAACTAAGAGGAGTGCAAAGGTGACTGACAGCCACCTTTGCTCCCTCTCCCCATCTTGTCCCACGTGGAGCTCTGATGCAGATGAAGATCTAGCCCAACAACTTTCCACTTTTAGGAAAGAAAGTGCCTTAATTTTTTTCGCCAAATAAGTGTCATTTGTTTACTCTATCCCTCAAACATCACACCTATTCTCATCTCTTCCAGCAGACTGAAAAACTCCAGGTCTGGTTCATATCTCAGTCACAATAGTTTCCCATCAGTGTAACTCCACTGATTTCAGTGGAGTTGCGCTTGATATAGAATATGATCCAAAACTCACTGAATTCAACAGGAGTCTTTCTGGTGACTTCAGTGGGCTTTGGATCAGGCTCTTATGCCAGTGTGAGATCAGAATCAGACCAGTTGTGCTTAATATGCACTTCAACCAGCCCTATTTATAGCCTTTGAGTGTTGGCAGGTAGAGAGTAAATTGCTTGGAAAATGGGTATAAGTGTATTTTACATCCTCCTTTTAGTTGCTTTTCTGCTACACCTTGCAGCCCCTTGGTGTGCAAGTTAAAGTGATGCAATGTGCATTCATTGTATCAATTAAACCTGTTCTCTTATTCACTTCACTCTACAGCCCTGATTCTCCACTCAATCACACCAGTGTAACACCAGTGGGCCTGATCCTCAGCTAGGGTCAATCGGCATAATTCCACTGAAGTCAATGCCTATTTACAGCAGCTGAGATCTGTCCCTCTTCCTTCAATAGAGTGACACTGTGTAAAATGGGTGTAATGGAGGGAGACTCAGGTCCCATGTGTAATTTACAGCATCATTTTATGACACAGCTGTAGCTGGCTCACTATGCTACAAATGGTCACTGAGCAGATCTGAATCCACTCTCCCTTACACCAGTGAAAATCAGGAGTTACTCCTTTGAAGTGAGATTCTCCTCGCAGGTACAATGGTGCAAATCCAGAATAGCTCCACTTGAATCAAAAGGTGTTCTGGACTTACAGCAGTCTAACTGGCAATTAGATCTAGCCCAGTAGAACACCACCAGTGTAAAACTGGTGTGGGATCAGAATCAGGCCTACTGTGAACAGAAATGATTTTTTTGTTTCAATTAAAACAGATCCTCTCTTTTGGAATTTGAAATTCTCATGCAGCATTTGCAACCCCACTCTTTGTAGAAAGGGAAGTGTGAACTGTGGTTCAAAATCTTTAAAAAAACAAACAAAAAAACCCAAATTTCCTTCCTAACACCACCTTAGATTATTAAAACTGGTAGACTCTCTCACAGCTGTATTGATTTTGTATCAGACAAACTACTTACATACTTTTTGGGCATGGAAAATGAAAACAGACCAGTCAGTTTTACTTCTGATTTTAGACAGTGACTTTCAGAGTCTCATGCACCAGTATCGTGCTGCAACATATGGGCTGCAAACTGAAGCTGGATGGGAATTTTTCGATTAAAGGTTTTTGGGTTGGAAAACGCTGATTCTTCAAAACCACAACATTTCAGGGGAAAGGGTCACTTATGATGAATTTCTTATTTCGAAATTTTTTTGAAAAAAAAAATTTAAATGGTCTACACATCCCATTTGGAATTGTTTTTTGAAATCTCAAAAATTTTCACAGGTTGGAAAAATGGATTTCCCATCCAGTCCTACTGCAAACTCTGTATGGCAATGTTTATTTGTTTAAATGAAAAAAACTATTTCCATCAGAGGGTTTTTTTAAGCCAAAGACAACATGTGGATGTGGCTCTACTGACCCTTGGGTTTTCTCAGAGCTTCCTAGTACACAGCCTAAATTTTAGCCAGATTTTCAACCAATGTCCCTGCAGTGAATGGAAACCAGAAAATGAAACTGACTATAAACAGAAAATGAAACTGACCAGCCTCGTTGTACTGTCTATCCTGAGTTAAAGCACGAAAATTGAACAGACAGCATAAACAGGCAAATGAGATATACAAAGTTCTTCCAACTTAAAGAATCTGTCTCTAGTTCCATGCCCAGCCCCACACCCTCAAATCCCAAGCTCATTGCAAAGGGGGCTATATGGGAAAAGTAATACAGCTCCCATGTACTGCCATCACCCAACACAGGGCTATGTACTCCCCATCCCTTCGCTTATTCTGTCATCCCAACCCAGCACAGCCCCTGTGTGTGCAGTCTGTCTCCTAGTGGTTAGGATATGGAGAGTCACTTACGATCATTGCTGAAGTCATCCACTAATATGATTTCATGGACCAGGTACACCGGGGTGCGGTTTAAAACACTGAGGAATGAAAAGAGAAAGTCCATGATAGTACCTGAGTAGCTAAACAAGTTAGGAGATGGGGAAAGGTGGGAGCTGACCTTTGACAAGGAAAAAAAAAAAAAGGGCAGGTTTCCAGTACAGAGATAGACAATGGACGTGCCCGTGAAGCAATGTACAGGAAATCAGTCCCCATGCATCAGATACCTGAAGTCACATCTAATTATTCTAAAGAGAGCAGAGTTCCTATTTCCCTCCCTTGCCCAGCCCTACAAAGCTTAGAAGAGATTTGCCATTAACCTCGATGGGAAGGGGGGAGATGTATGTTTAACAATATGCATATTACAAGCTAAGTTTCACATGGGAATGTACAACCCTCTTAAAATCCCTTCCCCTCCCCCGGAACTAATGTTAGGTTACTGGCAACAGGACCAACACATAGCAAAATTACCTGTCAAAAACCCATCTTTTCATACCTTACAGGCATGGGAGGAAAAGTCCTGTTTTTACTGTGAGCTGATTGTGTTTCAAAGACTGCAGAGAGGATAACAGCGGGTTTGTATCCTGGCTGTTTAATAAAAGAAAGAAGCTAGAGGTGATAGTTTAAACTCCCCTCCAGGAGTATAGTTATTGTGAAATGGGGATGAAAGCTACAATCTATTAATTATACCATCTACATGTTCTGTCATTAGAAATGCAGGGCCTAATTCTCTCCTCACTTACAGTATTATAAACCGGTGAAGTCAATGGAATTATACTAGTGTAAAACCTGCCTATAGAAAAGGAGTCAGGCTTGACTTTTTGAAGGGGCATTGGCAGCTGATGGATTGATTGTTCATATAGAACAGGTGTAAGTCAATTATTTTTTGTCAAGGTTCAAATTTCTTGGTCAAGGTATAGTTAAAGTCCAGACTCTAGAGAAAATAATAATAAAACCCCCAATCATAATATGTAAATAAAAAGATTTTAGGGTCCATTGGATGTTGTAGGTAGGTTACAGTCCTTAATACACAGGCTTTCCCTTTAAGCCTGGGGCCAGTCTCCTCAATTCGGGTCTTTGTCTTTCCAGCATTCTTGTTGCTTCCAGTGTAGGTGGGGAAAGAGAAAGGTAAAAGCATGATGCCGCTGTCCCTTATTTTATACTCTTAGTCCATGTCCCTGGAAAGACACTAGCCCAGGCATGTCTGGTGGGCCTTGCTGAGTCACAGGGTTGAGCACTCCCCATTGTGTGGTGCTTCTCTTACAGAATTGTAAATCCCTTGTTTACAGCTCCCCTGTGGATTAATGGTCATTCAGTGCCAGATTGGGTGTGGATCACCTCCTTTGTTGTCAGTGGAGAACTAGCAATGGATGATTCCCAAACTTATAACATATTTCAGTAACAACCATACAGCAAAATTCCATAACTTCATACGCACTAATGATATGCATAATTTGACAGAACAATGGGTTTCAGCAGTTCATGTTTCCTATGATATTTTATATGGCATGCTTTGTATGAAATATATCATAATTACATGACAGGGGTGAATATGGGTTCCAGGGTGCTGCTTTGAGGTACAGAGTGTCACAGTAGGTTTGGCAGAATTTACATTTTTTATTCTGAGGGGATAAGATGGATGTTTATTTGTAAGCATCTTTTTAGATTGTTACTGATTTAAATGTTCAGTTATGCAAAATTATGGGTTTTAAGCTTTTTTTTATTTTTATCTATTTAAATTTTCACGGTTGCAGGAAATTATTGGGGGGCTTAGACAATCATTATTTAAAAACAGTAGATATTGAGATTCAAAAAGTTCAGGTTTTACAACCATTAAAACACAAATTGTCAACATCGCATGTCAACATATGCAAAGTAAACATCCTTAAATCAAAGTGTAATAAGTTGTCAAGCAGTGTTTTCTTCCTTTGCCTATTTGTAGATTTCAAATATAGATGGCAATATTTTTCTGTCTGTCTGTTTGTGTATGGGGAAATTGACGAGATAAAAATCAGGCCCCCTGTATTCATTACAATCTCCCTCTCACACACCACTCCTTTATTTCACACACACACACACACACACACACACACTATAATTTCTTTACTCTCTGTCCCTTTCTGCTCTGCTCCCATCTTGTCTGTTCATTACACTTTGCCTCTCTTTCTCTGAGCCCTTTGCTGCAGTCTCTCCACCCTGACAACTGTTCAAGCTGAACGTTCAAACCCACAGTGTTCAAGTGGGTTCAGAATAAGTTCACCCCCTCTTAGGTGGCACAACATTGTATGTGGAAGTGATGCCTTACCCCACCTTGTCCTTTATGGAGGGTCTGATACTGTGGGTTGCTGAGTACCCTCAACTCTCACTGAAATCAATGGGAGCTGGGGGTTACTCAACCCTGTACAGAATCAGGCCTTTGAATTGCATACAGCGAGCTAAATTCTGCAATCACCGACGCTGGTGTAAATCTGAACTAACTCCACTGAAAGCACCACTGGTATAAAACCAGAGTAATAACTCCATTGGTTTCAGGGGAGCTAGTCTGGATTTACACCAGTGAATGTGAGAGCAGAGCTGGTCTCAATCCTAGTAGGGCCAGGTCTTTGCCTGGTGTAAATCAGTGTAGCTGCACTGACTTCAGTGGAAGGACGTCAGTTTGCACAAGCTAAGGACTGAGCCTGTAAATGCAACATCTGAGTGACACTAAAGCCTTGATCCCAGCCCTTGTGCACAGTAAGGTTATCTGGGGAATATTCCCACACACTCTGTTGCACTAGCTCCTCCAGTGATAGCAAAGATGGGAGCTTCACTAATGCGGACAAGGCCCCCAGGGCTGCTGGCCTTTTTAACACCAGGGGGTTAGACAACACAGCATTCCAAATGCCTCCCGCCAACACAGCCACAGCGTATTAGCAAAAGTGTCTGGCCACCCCTCCTCCCTCCAGAGTTTGCACGCAGCCATTTCCACGTGCTGTTCCCGCCTGTCAAGTATCTTTTAAAAAAATTATTATTATTAATAGATTTGTCATAAACATACAAAAATAGCCCAAATGCAGGAGCTGAGTTCAGCAAATTACTGCAGCTGAGTGTCAGTACAGAGAGACAGGAGAGCCATAGCACGCTCGGTGGACTAGTTAACAGGCACTGATTGCCTGGAAATCAGACTTCAGGGAACTGGCAGGAAAAGAAGAATTGTAAAAGAGCCAGCAAAATAAAGAAATAGACCACTGAACATGTGTGTGGGGGAACTGGCCACAAGCCCCCAGCAGAAAATTCCCCACCGTTGCTAGAGGGAGGACGGTCCAATGCTTACAGCTCTAGCCGGAGACCTGGGTTCAAGTCCCTTCTCTGCCACAGACTCCTGGTGTGATCTTGGGCAAATCACTTGACCTCTCTGTGCCTCAGATCCCCCTCCGTTAAAATGGGGATACAGCACTGCTCTACTTCATGGGGGTGTTGTGAGGATCAATACATTAAAGATTGTGAAATGCTCAGATGCTACAGTAACTAGTAATAGCCTTAAGCCTGGTGTGCCCTCCCTTCTACGAGTCGGGAGCATGTTGTGGCAGCAGGGGCTAGGGAGGGGTATGGGGTGGAGTGCCACATCAATCTGGCTAGCCTCCATTGGAGTAAGGTCCATTAAGGATCCTGCATAAGTGCTAAAAATTAAAAGCAGCCTGGAAGCTGCTCTGAATGTTGGCTGCAGCTGGTCCTCAGTGTTAGGGAGACAGAACAGGGGAGAATCAGGCCCAACAGAGTTACACTGAAGTAAAACTGGAGGACATCAGAAGAAAGTTAGGTCTGAATCCCTGCTCACTGACACCAGTTTTCCCCTGGCGTAACTCTGTGGACATAAAAGGAATTACCTTTATCCTGAGGGAAGCGGGAGCAGATTCCAAGGTACCAAAGCAGGGGGAAATAAAGAGAGATTAGGGGCCAGATTGCGTCCTGCTCTGGTGTTGGGGGAGGAAAGAGACACAGGCAAGAAGCACCCACACCACAGGCTGGCCTATGCAAGAGCACACTGCAGTAGCATCTAACGTGAGAAGGGACAGCTTAGCCTTTGCTCCATCTGTGAAACAAATCACTCAGAAAGGGGAGAGGAGAGGTGAGGCCATGAGCCCATCCCATCCCCTCCACACTAGCCCATGGAGAGAGGCCAGCACCTTGGAGAACATAATCAGTCTATGCCATGTTAATGGGTGATGATGACCAACGTAACCTCTGTCCCCAACCTACACCTCCACGTGCACCCATCAGCCCTGGAAGAGATTGAGGCACAGTTCCCCCAAGTACTGCCTCCTTCACCAGCTAACCCTAAAACAATGACAAGCAGCAAGCAAATCGAATCGATTATTAGACTGAACATACGTGACATAACCAAAAGCCATGGGATGCTCTCAGGACTGGTAATGTTTTCATGCTCAGTTGTTTGGGGAGGAGATTGTACCAGATCATGGAACGCCACAGGATTATGATGTCACACGCTCCATACAGGTATGAGCACCACAGATGGAAACATTAACGTTAGAGGGAATTTTTCAACAAAACTTTTTTTTTTTGGCTGGAAAATACCAATTTGCCAAAGCCAAAGCTTGTCGCTAGAAAAGGTCAGTTTAGACAAATTTCCCCAACTTGAAAAAAAAATGCGACCAAGAAATTTTCAGAAGGTCTCCTTGACATTTTTGAAATGAAAAAAATCCCAGTTTTCAACTTTTCGTTTAAAAATTAAGCTAATTATAGTACGAAAAAAGTTTAATAAAAATGGTCAGAATCAAAACAAAATGTTTCAAAATTATCAATTAGCGGGACCACCCTGAATGCACTCTGAAGAACCATGAGGGTCAGGCTTCCAAAAAAGGCACCCGACCCTTAGGCCTGCATTAAAATGATCAGGATTTCACCACCTGTTTGGCAGTGACTTGCTCTGTGTATTTTTTTGAATGGGTGGGTGGAGGCAGTTGCACTGAGTCATGCATGAACATGTTACATGCCCCGAATGACATTGCCTGCTACACTCAGAGCAGATCACATTAAACTA